ACGCGGAAATGGAAGACAAAACCCAACCACAGTGAAAAATTCTGGATTACTTGAGTTTCTCAAGCTTACCAGAAAGCGCCGCTGAACTAAACAGACCATTGTGTTTTTCTCTTCATTCATCTTTCCCACACAAACGGTAAGTAAACGTGATTTATAATTTCTTCTGTTATCTAAAATTTGTTATTTAAACCAACACACAATGTAGAGAAAACATTTCCGCGAAAACAGCAACACGCCGTTGCATTTTAAATCTACACGCGACGCGCCATTATGATCGTTCATTCTTGATCGTTCAATGAGCACCATTATTTAATATTTCTCGGGTATACAACCCATTAAGGCATAAATAAATTAAAGTGAAGTCTTTTGACAAGCCTCGTTTCCATACTGTAATAAGCAGGGGTCTCAGATCCTCTCAGTTAAACCCGTTTTTAAGCAAATTCCCACGCTGGGACGTTTTCGGACTTTTGTTACGTTATCAATTAAGGTCTAAAACAGTTGGCATATCTTCTGTTGCAGTTGGTTCTACGTTAACCTACTTTTTTCCCACAAAATGATGGACTAAATCAGTTCCATTCATGCACTGGTATTTTGCGAAAACTGTTGGCACTTTACAGTATTTTAAATAGTCCAGTTTTATACATTCAAGTACATCATTCTACACTGACAGTTCTTTTTGCAGTGTGGGTGCATGTTCAAATTAAATCTGCATGCTATATATATTTTAGCTAATTATAAAGGTGCCCACTCCTGCGATAACCTACTGTTGACCTTATTAATAAATAACATGGCTTGCGGCTGCTAACTCGAAGCTGGTTGTACTTTCCTCTTAGAGAAATGAAGGAGGCGGTGCGGAGGGAAATTGGTAGTTATTAACAAACGGGTACATTGGTGTAAAGCTGGTATCACCCAGCGTCTCTTTATCGCCTTCATCAACGATAGACGCTCCACCGCTAACACACTCTGCGTACGAAGGAGGAGCTGAAATCAAAATCAAGAAATGTTGCATTTAGCCAAGTCAACTCGTAGTCACAGAGTTCTGGAGCCTTTTTTTTTTCCCTTTGCATTTGGTATGCTGATTTGACGACCATAAAAAATTATTTCGAAACGATATACGGAAAAAAAAATCATTAAAACAAGTATTCTTATTCGTAATTGCAAATGTTTCAGTATACTCAGAACCAGCTTTTCTATATTTCTTAATACATTATGCAAGATATAATTAAACTTTACCATTCGAGATCGACTACGAATCCACAAACAGTCTACCAGGGCGGTCTACTTAGTTTCCCTAAACTGCTTATCGTTGACCACTTGCTGTGCATTTTTTTTTTCTCCTTAATTGTAGGCTCATTTGTCTACCCACACAATAGCTAGGCGTGTCAGTTTTCCAGATCGAATTTGTATCATTAAGTGTTGGAATTTTTTTTAACAAAACAGCAAATTCACCAGTGAACGCAGGATCACTCAGGCTGTCCCTTGTTTCTGCAGCGACAGCGGGAAAGAAGTCTGCGTTAGGGGGTAGGGGCATCAAATATAATGCTGCGTTTTACTGTAGTTGACTGGTTATTTTCGGAGGGCCGCTTCTTTCGGGGGGAATGGAGGGGGGTGGGGGGGGGGGCGTTACTACCTGGCTCAATAGGTGAAGAATAAAGTAACGTTACTTTCGGGTAGCTGTTATGTTCAAGGAGGGGGGCGGGGAGGCATTACTTTCGGAATTCTACGGTAGACAAGATACGGAATTTTCCTAACCAATATTTGGGTACGTCTGTGCATGGCCACCATACTGTGTAGAGGCTGGTGGATAAGCTGACGCTTGTTCAAATTCTGCCAGTGGTGGAGCACTAGGAGTCAAAGCAGCACCTGGAGGCGGGAACTGGGCTGGAGGAGGAGGCCGATACGGAACTGAGCCAATGGTGATGGGAATTTTTTTAATGTGTAATGCTGAGATGAAGGCTGCATCCACTTTAACTTTCAGCTAATGTAAGATGGCAAGAAAACTAAATAAGCCACAGGACCGAATTGATCTACAATTATATCACATTTAAACGAGTTTCTAAGTTATACCAACCCAGCACCCTTCTCAGTAGATGTGTGAGAAAGACAGTGGGAGGAATAATTGTTTATTGGTCATTCCAAGTCATCTTATTTGAGCATTTTCAGGGTTCGTTTGCCAATGAAAATGAAGGTTTTTAAGAGGTAAGTGAAACAAACCTCGGCAGTGAAAATCATTTGTTCCTTGCTAGCTAAGGTCTCTCAGGGTGAAAGAAAAACGAGTAGATGAAGGAAAGAGAACTCCCTCCTTTCTCTCATTTTTTCGCGATGAGAGGCCTCAGCTTGCAAGGAAAATTATAGCTTGGGCAAGTGAGGTTCTAACCTGTACTAAAAAAACTTCATCAGTCACCTCAGATTCAAGAGTACTATCATTATGGCACTGGTAGCAAATGACATTCGTCAAAACACATCAGGCATTTTAAACAAATCAACTAAATGCCGGACAGAAAATGAGTAAATTACCCTTAGAAAATACGACACTTTTATGCAACTGCAACCCATCGTGGTTGGGGGCAGAGAGGGGACTGGAAGTGGTACTATTATGCGAGTCTCTTCCCCAGGCTTCACTCCTTCTTGAGACGTGGTCTCGGCAACCATTTCTTCTCGTTGTTTTTGTTTTCCTAGAAATAAAATGAACATAATGATGATGATGACGAAGATAAACATCATAATGAAGATGAGAGTCAAGAAGGGATCATACATGAAAAGGGACCGGTCATTATTAATCGCCTGGCGGGGCGGGGGAAGGATTTAAGGGGGGGGGGGATCACTTGATTTTTGGGAGAACAAAAGGGGGGATCAGTCGTAACTGAGAACTCAAAAGGGGAGATCGCTGAAAACTTTGGAAGGATTCATGAGAGGGGGGACCACTAAAATGTACTTGGAAAATGAAGACATGGGGCGAGGAGTATGGCGAAAGTCATCAAAAGTCATTAGGGCGGATCTCTTCAGTGAAGTAACATTCAAAGGGGGGATTGGCTAAATTTCACCTTGTTTAGTTCCAAATCCTCCGCTCCCCCTCCCCCCAGGCGATAATAATGACCGGTCCCTAAGAGAGCTAAAGCTACCACATAGGCCCTATTCCTGAGGTTAGCCTTCTCCGGTCATTTTCAGTAACAGACCAAATGGTACAAGGAGACTCAATTTCTAATAGTTTTTTGAGTTTCACAGCAGTAACTGTAAAATTTGTTAAATTAATTCAGTTTAGTACTAAATTTTTATATCTGCTGCTCGCTACGCTCGCAGCAGACCTATTTCACTCAGATGCCAGTGTGATCCTCGACGCTTGTAGTAGCTCACTTTGCCTTGCTTTCGTGTGGATCAGCAACACAGCTGACCTTTGCAACGTTGGCTCAAGCACGTGCTTTCTCTCCAGCGTCCTTTTGCGCATTTCACAACCCACTAGAGCGACTTGACAGTTCGTGTTGAAAACCTTCTGTGTTTGGGAAGTATAATTTGTACTGCTTTGCGCTCCCGTGAAACTTAAGGAGTTGTTCGGTTTTTTTCTTTCAAAGTATCATTGATTTAAAAACGTTGTTAATGCGAAAGGAGAGATAGAAAGTGACCTACAGACCGAATCACGAGTAGAGCCGATTTTCTCTGATCTATGACAAACAAACTGAACTGAGCGAATCTGCTGGCAACCTCGTTCCCAGGGTTCTCCCCTATCCGTACCTGCGGAGCGAGACGGGTAGGAGAGAGAACCTGGGAATAAGGTTGATTTGCTCGGTGGCCAATGTGCCAAACGACCCTTTGTGGTCACAGAAACAAATAACTGATGGAATGTGCCTTGTGGGCAATGAGCCAAGCAACCCAACTGAGTCAAAAACAAGGCGAACTCTCCAAACGTAATCTGCAGAATTATGCTGAAGCTTTGCAAGAAAGCTCGAGCGATTCTTTTCAGAGTATTGACAGTAGTGAAATTATCCTTCCTCTACACTATAATAAAATTTAGACATTAGTACTCAAAATCTCCCAATATTTTCTCCAAGAATTAAGAAATATGATAACTAAACCCTTTGCTCGCAGCACTTCACCTTCTAAAGGGAACCACTAGTAACAGTAATTATACGTTTTTATTTTTCAGATTTTGAAAATTTTTCCTAGGAAAAGAAAGCTAAAGAAGGTATACCAAAATTTGGTATCATTGTCTGCTTGCTAATGGTGGTACATGCAACAAAAGGCAGCAAGTTGTCAACTATTAACAGCGGGTAGGGAGCCTATATTAGGATTTTTTTTCATCGCCAACAAGAGGTGAAGCATTAATTAAACCTCTTTCCTAGTCTTGGAGGCTTGATCAATATATATTTCACACCGTAACAATGATATAGTAACAGTTAGAAGTATTTGCAGATTGAGTGCTTCCCACTGCCAGTCAAAACAGAGATGGCATTTAAATTTGGAATCAACCTTAATTAGCTACTGAATAATTCCTCGTTCTTAAGTGTGAAACTGGTTCTTTAAAACCCACCACCAGAAGCAATGAAGACAGTGAGTTGAAAAAGTTGTATCTCCAGCCCAGTAACCTCATTTTTTGAATTATTGCTAAAGACTGCCGATACACCAATAGATTCTCCAGGACAGTAACCTCCTCTGTCAGTATAGACAGTAGTACTGAGTGGACCAGATATACAGCACAGGTATCCCACATCACGTTCCTCTTGGACCTGACAAGGTTGCTGATGAAGTAAGAGTTGAAATATGTACTGGTATTAGATTTTACTGTCACTAATTTCTGGGCATTTGGAGAGAGCCCTTTTCTTATCATTTACTTTAGGGTAGCCCTTTCAGAGGCTTAGCCAACTGCTATTAATAGGGGCNTACTTTAGGGTAGCCCTTTCAGAGGCTTAGCCAACTGCTATTAATAGGGGCCCTAAGGGACTTTCCTCATTCTCGTCCCCAGAGCCTCCTGGGAGCCTGAGCACGAGGACCAGGGGGCTCTAGGGACACAAGATTTGAAGTCCTAGATTTTAGGACTTCCGGTCATTTCCGATTCAAAAGGAAGTTGGAGGATTCTCTTTCAAAAGCTTTGAATCACCTAAATTTACAGTCTTATTATTGATACTTCGGCAAGAGCAGATGAAAATTTCTTTCCCTGGATTGATATTTGCGCAGTACAAATCAATAAATATTATTAAATATTCAATAAATATTAAAAGCAAGAGAACGCCATTAGAAACGTTGTAGAAAATAAGAAAAGATCTGAAGTCCTAAATTCTAGGACTTTAAATCCTCTTTCCCCAGAGCCTCCTGTTCCTGGTGCTAAGGCCCCCAGGAGGTTCTGGGGACGAGAATGGACTTTCCTTTGCCAGTTTTTGCACTCTCACGATGCAAATACTCTGCCAGTTTTCTTCCAAAATTACTCCTTCATTATGGCACTTTAAATAATAGGATACAACTATAGCCTCAGTCATGTATACTGAGTAAAACCATGCTGCCATCGTAACGATACTTGGAAAATGTTGTTCCTGTCAAAACCATTTTTTATTCCGAATCACAAATTAAAATTGAGTCTACCAAAATTTGTCTCCTGAAGTTTTCCTAGGTCCCATGAAAAAGGTTATAACAATAACTTAGTAATATTTTCAGATTTCCTCTCTCTGTATTTTCTCATGGGAAAAAAGCTTTGCAAGAGTAAGCACAGACCCGATACATTGATTCGCTATGGAAAGATCATTATGTTATTGAAAATTTAAACAATTACCAGAAGCAGAGGTGTATTGATGTCCACATATTCCAACATAGTGAAAGCTGCTTTGGTCGTGATATCAAATCTCCATGGGCGGTCAACAATTCCTTTTAACCAGTAGCGAACATAGCCATACCTTGCTTCTACTGAGGTCGGCATATTGATGTTTGGGATTAGAAACTGAAATGGATAGGAGTAATCACCAGGCTGGAGAACTGGGTTATTGCCACTCTGACCTGGAGCTGCCAATCAAAGTAGGTAGATAGGTACACTTGGTACTGTTGGGTAGGTAGGTATGGTAAGTATTCAGGTAGATATGAAGAAGAGCACAGGTAGCTTGGAAGCTAGGTAAGTAGGTAGGTAGGAAGGTAGACAGGCTGGTGGGTTGGCAGGATATAGGTAAGTGGCCTGTAGGTACGTCTCACTGAAAGGTAGGAAGGTAGGTATGTAGGTAATTAGGTAGGGTTAGGAAGGTAAATAGCTAGGTTTGTGAGGTATAAGGTATAAGGAAAGTACTATAAGTAGATGGGAAGACAGGTAGACAAATGGGTGGGTCATCCTGGTGCAGCCTTAAATTGAACAGGTACAAGTCAGTTAAGTATCTCATACAACTCTAGAGACCCATGGAAGACCATCATTTCTAGCCGACGTTTACACATTTCAGGTCAACAGACGGTGTTTTTTAAAACAGCTCTGACTGGAGATTTTAACACGCCGGTATGCTCAATCCCCCATTCGGGAGTCGGGACTCAAGAGTGAATGTCTACAAATATCGAGCAACCGGCGGCCAGTTTTTTGAAAAGGCCGCTTCGATTTGGAGAAAATCGGGGGAGGGGGAGGGGAGAAGACGGAAACACTTGCCCGAAACTTCCGCGATTCTGGGGTCAATTTAATTAAACATTTGCAGGTGTAATTGACAAGAGTAGCCATTGTTTTAGGGCCCGAAACCAATAGCTACACTAGTAAATTACACTTGTAAAGGTTTTATTAAATTGACATCTGGAAAACGCCCTTTGATATTTTAAGGTTCCGTTCGTTTATAAATTGACAGCTTGTCAACATAGCCGTAAGTAACGTGAATAAGATTTGTTAACTTTTTTGTTCTCTTTGAAACATGCTCCAAACGATTGCAGAAAAATATATTAACGTAGCTTAATGATCCAAGAAGGTTGAAACTCCCAGCAATTGCTGCAGAATTTCTCCTCTTATTCAATTGAAAAGTTTTAAACGTAACTTCAGCCAAAAAACTCTCGCCGGAAAAACTCGTCAAAACGTCAGGGGCACCCAACGACTCTTCTCTGTAGAATATCTGTTCGGAGAAGCAATAATTGCCTAGACTTTTTTATAGCTTGAGGATGGCTAAAAATCTCTAGGTGATCGCCCCTTTCACGCTCACTTTCAAAACTTATCTAATGATTTCCCTTCGATTTTCTGAAATTTAGTTCTTCGCAAGTCACTCTCCAGGTTAAGCTAGTTTTCGTAGAAAAAAACCTAAATATTTCCGATTAAAAAGTGTGATGGAGAGAAATTGCTTTGGGATGACCGAACGGATGCAAATTCTATATAGCTCCTAGAGGTATGAAATTACTTGGGGTAGCCTAAAAAATGTCTCTATGCATTTAGGAGGAATCTGTCGTTGGATGCCCCTGGCTATTAAGCTAATGGTGCTGTCAGGTGCAAAAATGATTATTAAACCGTTCTAATTGACAATTTTTGCTAGTTAACAATCCGCATACCGTATTTATTCGATTGAACGCCGCGGCGTTTATTAAAGTTTTGGCGTTTCCAATGTGGCGTTTATTTCGAAATCAACTTTTTTAAAATCACTGACAACAGTTATTGTAGATCGTTTGTAAATATTATGTAACTTAACGGTTCCAATGTCTCCCTTATTTTGCTGGGATGGAATCGTAAATGTCTGGATGGTGTAAATTACCAAGAAGTTGTACCGAGGTTTTTTTTTTATTATCCTCTAGTTAACGCCGCATTCCTCTGATTAGGTGCGACGTTTATTCGAGGGCGACGTTTACTCGTAATTTTGCTTCCATCTGCGGCGTTTGATCGAGGGGGAGTTTATTCGAGGACGGCGTTTAATCGAATAAATACGGTATTTAAAAATGGCGTTAACGGAAAGATAGGGGGAGAGCCAACGGGGGCACTCAACGACTGTTTTTTGTAAAATGTATGTTCGGAGAAACAAAAATTGCCTAGAAGTTTCTATAGCTTGAGGAAGGATAAAAATTTCTAGAGGACCGCTCCATTCATGTACAGTTTTCGAAACTTATCTAATACGATTTTCTGAAGTTTAATTTTTCTTATTTCACTCCCCTGGTTTAGCTATTTTCCCTGGAGAAAGGAAACCTAAAAGTTTCGGAATCGAAAATGCGATGCAGAGAGGGATCAGAAAAATTCTCACTTTCGTAAAACTTTAGATTGCAGCTAAAATTTTTGGGAAAATAATACTGAAGCCCTTGTAATTTCGAAACGACTCAATTTGCCCAAGGATGACCGAAAAGGTAAAAATTGTTTAGCGCCACTTAGAATATGATTTCTAGAGATCTGAAAGTACTGTATTTATTCGATTAACGGCCCTGGCGCGCTAATTCGGGGCTGGGCGCTTAATATAAATTTTCAGCATTCTCAGCAAGTGTAGTACGTTTATTTTGCAACAAAACAATAAATGGTAATAACAAAACGCGAAGATGTAACAAAGCAAGGTTTCTGTAAAATACTCTGAAGAAAACTCCGTCTTCGGGGAAGTCTCTTATTAAAACTTATTCAATTTTGGGGGGATGGAAGGGGGGAAGTGGGTGGGGTGGGGGTGGGCGCTTTATTGAGTTTGAGTGGGATCGGGAGGGAGGTGGGGTGGGGTAGGCTCTTATTTGAGGCTGGGCGCTTATTAACTTTTTCTGCCTTTAGGATGGGCGCTTATTCGAGGTGGGCGCTAATTAGAGGTTGGGCGCTTATTCGAATAAATACGGTACTCTTCAAAAGTTTTCAATGCATTTATAACTGTCCTTGGATGCCCCTGAAACGTCGCAAAAAAATTATTTGTCCGAAACAATTAAGTCCAACTATGAGGTTTGTAGAGCGATTGAAGTGGAAGATGTTGGAAACTCAAAGCTATTTTCGTATTATTTGCTCCGTAGACCTGGAAACACGTCTTGGCCAAGCCTTGTCCCTGAAAGAACCTTAAGATCCTCAACAATACATACTGTAAAATTTGCAATAAATAAAGAATCTTTTAATTTTAAAGAGTCAATAAATCGCTTGTCCACGACAGCTTTATCTAGCTGTCGAGTACCGGCGCCGTACTTGCGTCGGATGTAATTCCGACAAACAGTCCAATTTTTCAGTCAGATCCGCACACTGTCATTCCCAAGAAAATGGCCTCCACCGGTCTCCACCGCTATATCTCCAATGATACTTTGAAGGGGCGAAATAACAACGATGCAATGATAAATCAATTAAACTTAAATCTAAATTGTACAATAACATTCGTCTGCTTCTGTCCACTACTAAAGAACGAAAGTAAATGATATAGCAAAAGAACCCACTTACCTACCGTGTGGCGCGAAATTTTTGCGGGAGTTTATTTTTGCTGATTGGTGATTTTTTGTGTTTTGCGGGAACAAAGTTGTGCGATTAGGACAGAGTGGTTTTTCTTGCAGGGAATTAATTTTTTTGCGATTTTCAAAAAGTACCCACTTTCCAGCATTGATAATATTTTCGTTTTCATTGAGTACGTGCAATAGAAATATATATTTTCAAACAACACTACGATACGGCGTGGGTTTTGTTTCTGAACGAAAGAGACAAGTTGTAAATGATCTGTACAGCCCCCGAAATGACTCCGACCCGGGAATGATCCCCAACTGGACCCCGAAATGACACCGACCCGGAAATAATTCAGAGTTGAGAATCAATTTCGGGGTCGGGATCATTTCGGGGGCTGTAAATAACAGAGTAAATTTTTGCTGAAAAATGTTTGCGGTTATTGTTTTTTTTGCGGATCGCTGAAAAAATCGCAAAAATTAGAACCCGCAAAAATTTCGTGCCACATGGTATCGGTCCCGCTTGTGCCAAAGGTTAAGAGCAAACCAAAAACGATGCAACCACGCGAATCCCACTTGACTCTCAAAAGACGCTAACGCAAAAAGACGCTGACGCGCGCTTTGATATCCGCGTGGGGACGCCAAAATACCTCTTTACAAAAACCAATAGAAAATAAGGTCAACATGGTAACTACGCCAGTAACTAGGATCGAAACACGAAACATAACAAAATTAAAGAACGCAATTGTTCTTATGTCCTGCCCTTTACAGTAATGATGACGTTTCTATTGTTCACGCCTGCAAGAATGACATGGTTAGGATGTCGTAAACCAGAAAATGACCGAAAGGACCGCTTAGGTTGATTTTGTGACACTTATTGTACAGTCATACTTCGATACTCTTTTTCTTTAAGTGAGTTCCAGCTGTTTTGAAAGTTATGGACCAAAAGACACTCGTTAAGCCCGGATGAAGTTATAAGGGGCGTATAACTGTGTCACTTGGAGAGTTTTCCAGACACGAGTTTATCATAAACAAATCTTTGATTGGAAACGATTTGTCAGACACAAATCTCTTTGGGAGAATTAGACTCAGTCAACAAACAAGCAAGTTTCCCTCTGCAAACGACAGAATCAACGGCTAGCCTATCACTAGCAGAAAGATGATCGATCACAGAAATTCACCAACAATTAAATTCTGGGGTGCTAACGTATTCCCTGCTCACAGATGTCCTTCTTATAAAGTCGTTTTTGTTGAAGTATCGTCGCAATAGTTACCAAAAAAATGAGTAGAACTCGCGAGCGCGAATTGATCAAATGTTTTATTTTCTAAGGCTTACTTTTCCGCTTATAAAATGAACTTTATATGTCAAAAGTGAAAGAGAAATAGCGAAAAATTACCACTTGAATCAAGTCTTTTTCTTGTGGTTTAGAATAAAATGTTATCGAAACTGAGAATATTTTGATTTGTTTTTTTGATTTTTCTTGGAATTAGCTGATATATGAATCAACTGATACATGTATCAGTGAATTCTAATTAAAAGTAAAGACCAAGGAGAATTGCACCAAAAGTGCACACCTTAGTTTATCTGTAACTGAAAAATTACTCAGCACTGTAGCTGCGCTCAGACAAGAAGGTGTCATCAATGTACCCCTCAGTTGATGGATATTGGGATACTTAGTATTGAATTTGAGGCACTTTCCCTACCACAATAATAATAATAATAATAATAATAATAATAATAATAATAATAATAATAATAATAATAATAATAATTTATTATTATAAGGGGCAAAATAGCATTTGAAAATGATCTAATGTGCACTGACAAAAATATATATAAAATTTTACGTAAAATCTCCTCAGAAAAACTAAAAATTTGGTATAAATCTCTCTATATCTACAATTAAAAAGGCAATTATAAGATTCGATTAATAAATGTATTGTAACTTAGTAATTCAAATGATCTTAAAACGTTAATTGATAAGTCAATAATAATCGTAAATCTATAAATAATAAGCTAGTTTAAAAAGTTAACTTTTTAGTTTAGCTTCGAAAGGATACATGCTTGTTTCCATCCTTAATGCATTTAGAAGTTTGTTCCATAGATATACACACAAAGATAACAAGTAATCAGAGGCATACTGGGCAGGAGCGTTGCGTGACGACACTAAAAACGGCTGTGTAGCAGACTATCAGAGGCATAAATGGAGAATAAATCGAACAAAATAATTTGCTTAGATAGGAAATGAAACTGACGCAAGAATTTCTTGAAGAAATTGAACAAAGAAAGTCAAGAAAACAGAGCACCAATAAACCTCCCACCTGAATAACATGCTGCTAACAGATGACATGACGAATGCGAAATGAAAAAGGTTTCATTGAATATTCAAAATTGTTTCGTTGCAAAAAATGACGAGATAAAAAAGAAAAATTGTACGAGTTTCGAGTGTTTATAATTAGCAATTATTTGATGAGGTTGAGTATGATGTTAACATTTATATTCTTCGCATCATACCAAAGCCGAATCCAATAATTGCTTCGTTACTCATTCACCTCGATCGATATTAAGTTCTCGTCTTCATTTTCCTGTTTATCGGCAAGTTCAGGATATAAGGGATGTTAATTCTAGCAGATAATTATTCTTCAAATAGCACATGTCATCCGTCGAATTGTGTATTCTTCCTGTTCTTGCTATGTTTTGAGACAGTACTTCGACTATTTCTTTTTCGTGAGGCGTGTGAAATGTTCCGCTTTTTCCTACTGCCCTACAAAAACAAGGCTCAGACACTTTGATCATTCGTGTGAATATAAACTTACTCGACAAGCAACACTTATCCTGATATTATCATTGCTTTTCTGGCATTCTGCACGTCGGACAAAATGAATAAAACCCAAACTGACCTTTACCGAACAATGTTGCTAAGGTATCGATGTAAGTTTGGCTGTTATTATAGTGTCTTGTTCTCCTGTTCACTGTGTTCACTCCAGATCCGTGGTCTCCGTAGGTTTCACTGGTTTCACTCCAGTGTACGTGAGCTTTACCATGAAATTCAATCCGTACGCCTCGCAGTTTTAACTCCTTATTCACTTTGAGACGGAGGGTTCCATTAATTGCCTCCCCTGGGTAAAACGTTCTTTTCCCTCGGTCAAATTCAACGACGAAGTAATCATCTTTGCCCATGGTTTAACAACTGACATTCAAACAATGTTTAACCGTAATTACATGCATGATGAGTGTGCATTTTTGGATAACTGATCACCAGCCAAAGTAGGGAGGGGAGGGTTTCAGAGGGTAGGCTCGTAATATGTGCAGAGCGCGAGAAATGACTGTTTTAATACTTTGCATGACGAATTCTTCCTTATTCGTCCGAAACTACCGTTTTTATAAAAATCCCAGGCCGAGCCAAGTCACAGCTTGACCAACCAAGCAAACCGTGATCTAAGACGGCATAAGGGTTATGGAGGACAAGAGAGTAGTTCAATTCTTTTGGGTTTGATTTGATTTTTTTTCCCAGGAATATCCATGACATTCTGTACTTTTCAACTCAAAAATTGAAGATCAGGATAAAGATGCGCCAGCCAGGCTTCTTGCTCGATGTTCCCTGTAAAGGCTGAAAAATCTCACAGAGTTTGACTTTAATCAATTAGTTTATTCGCGTACATCTCAGAAAAATACCTTGAATACCTTTACTTCACGTTCCAAGATATACGTAATTTGGATAGATCATGTAGTTTCGATTTTTGCTGTAATTACAATCAAAATCTAAAATTCGCCAAAACGGCTTCGGAGTGGCTCTAGAAGTAAACTGACAGTAAAAAACACAACACAAACACATACATTCAGTTAAGATAAAGCTTAGAAAAATTTTCCGTCTTGAATCCTGCAAAAGACATAAGGCTATGTGAAAGGACATTACGCGTTTAATTTGTTCTCTCTTACTTGAAGTCCTGACTCAAACGACGTTAAGGCTGTCTGTGCTCAAGCCAACTAAACAAAAAGTGTATGAAATTAATAATGTCTTCTGGTATCTAAAGAAGTGCATATTATTCGTGGCTTGTGGGCAAAGCTTTAAGTCCAAAAAGCCAGAAATCAGTGTTTAGGTTGCGTTCTTCAGTATTGGATGATTATAGATGATGCTTTCTTTAGGTCAACCTTTTATGAATGGTCGGCGCAAAATTTTTGTACCTTCGTGGCCCTTTGGTTCTTGGTGTTTCTGGATATGACCGATATCGGTCAGTGATAAATCTTTGGAAGGCATCGGACCCAGTCAAACCCTTAAATTAGCCCTGTAATTACTCCACGAGGAATGGAATAATAATGAGAACTTTATTTGTGTTTTGCAATGCACAATTGTAAATCTCGCTATGTATAGGCAATTTACAATTCAGGCTGTTGGAGATGGAATTATTAAAAAAAAAAATCAAAATTGTTATAATAATAATAATATCCCAGTTGTGCGATATAATTTTTGTATCATTGACTGGAAACTTTCTGAACTGAGGTAGATTGACTCAGAAACACGCAAACTATTGAACATGCACAAGACGTTACATCCTAAAGCAGATGTGGAAAGGCTTTACATCACGAGAAAAGGCCTGATTGATATAGAAACAGCATTCAAAACAGCAACAATTGGGCTCGGTCACTATCTGAAGCACAAAGAGGGGCAATATCCAAAGCAGGCGCTTGAACATGAACGATCTAAAGCCAAAAAATCAATAACCAAGTAACTATGCCAGAGTTTGAGAATTGAGAAGTTAAATCAGCCTCAAAAAATGCTTAAGCCTTTAAACACATGTTCAAATCCAAGGATAAACAGAGGGGCTACTGGTAGCACCTCAAGACCAAGCAATAAACACCAGAAACTACCAGGCAATAATATGTGGCCAGCAAGGAGAGACTGATGCAGAATGTGTTCTCAACATGAATAGACAGTGGACCACTTGTATCTGGATTCGTGGTATTAGCCAAAACAGAGTACATCTCCAGGCACATATCCCCATTGGACCATCTGTAAAGATCATGATATCGAGATTACAGACAAATGGTATTTGCACGAGCCAGAGACTGTGATACGCAACAAAGATAACAACATCATCATTATGTGGGACATTCCAGTCAATACTGATAGAACTATAACAGCGAACAGACCAAACATCATCGTTAAAGATTCAGTGAATTCCACCTGCAAACTGATTGATATGACTGTTCCATCAGATAGAAACATCGCACTGAAGGAAATCGAAAAGAAAAGCACGAGTACAAAGACCTAGAACTAGAAATACAGAGAATGTGGTATATCAGTGAAAACCGTAGTGATCCCTGAGGTTGTCGGTGCGCTTGGTACATTAATGAAGGGGATGGTGTCGAATGGACAGGCAACATCAATTATTACGCACGATTTCTCTTCCTTATGTACCATTATAATTATATTTAATTATAATGGTATATTTATTATAATTATACCATTTTATAGATGTTCGAAAACCTAGGAGAGGCAGGCAAGCAAGAAATTTTACAACAAATGTTCCGAAAATTCTAGATCTCAAATGGTCTTCCGAACATATATTTTTCGAAAATTGACGTTGAGTGCCCCTGATGACTTGTACTGTTTCTGTGCAAGTGCAGTGCATTCTGCCACTAGTCGGCTCACTGTCTCTACTCTTTCTCCACACATTCTGCACGCCGGGGAAACATTTTGATTGTCAATAAACTTCTTTACACCGTTTGTTCACAAAACCTAGTCTTGTGCAGTCATGAGAAATCCTTCACTTTCCATTTTTAGCTTCCCTCTCTTAAGCCACTCCCACGACACTTCGAGTCCCTAATTTCCTCGGTACGTATCATTATTATTATTTTTTATATTTTTTTATTTTCATTATTGTCTCTTCTGTCACCGTCTTTGCTGGTGTTCTTTTTGTGCTCTTTACTGCTCTCACAGTAGCTGTCTCTGATTTGTACCAGAATCATGAGCGGAGGGTCTCGATGGGGTGGTAGCTTTGACGGTTGGCCGCTAAATTTAGAGCTTTTGACGATTGACGATTATTAAGTGGAAATTTAGTCCGAACGTTAAAGCAAATATTAATTTCTGTATGAATTGATATTAACTGTTGTGCTTGACCTGTCAATTCACAGGCTGAGCCCAAGCTCGAAATAACTACATTCTCCAAATGTCAGATGTTGCCCCTCGAGTTGTCTTCTTGCTGTTCTTGCCATGTTTTTAGCTATTATTTCGCATAGTTCTTGCTATAGTAAGAAATGTCCGCCATTTTTGTTTTCACAACCAAAACAACTCAACCTCGTCCCCAGGTCTTCTCGGTTATCGGTGCATTAACCTGCAAGGAAGCTGCACTTTTGACGTCATCGGTTCATTAATCGCAAAATTCTTCCAAATTTGATCATCAGTAGCTGGTTATGGGGAATTGTGCGTGTGCTTTTAGCCAATCAGAATCGGGAAAATATTTTGAATGAATAATAATTTCGCTTAAAAAAACTCTCCCGTGAAATTACTAGTTACAATTCATTTCGATTCAAAAAACACCTAATTAGGCTTGTAATGCGGAGGACATTACAACTACTACGGTCACTACAGCATCCAAAGAAGTAACAATGATTACTTCTACCCATAATTTGCCATTATCGTCTTTATTATGAAAAATTCTGTGTTTTGTTTTGTCTAGAGTAAACAAACTTGACCACGATTTCTTGCATTGGCAGCTTTTATCATTTGTTTGCCCCATGAGAAACCACGTGACATTGAGGAGGTCTCGAGGTCGAATTGTTTCGCCTGAATGGAATTGAATCACACTATAAATTTACGCGGGAAAAAAAATGATTGACATATGATGTGTCGGGAGCGATGTGAAATATCACTCACTGTCCTATTGGTCAATTGTCATGACTTCATCGGTAGAATTTTCGACCGGTGAATTCGCGCCAAACAGGTATGAAAAGTCCTTTAAAATGGCATAACCAACTAAAAAAATAACGGACTTTTAGAAAGTCTAAGATAAACATTACAACAACAACAAAGCAACCACAGTTTCGTATTCTTCATTTTAATGAGGCAATCTCTATTCATTTATCTACATACTTTATATTTCTGTGTTCGTATTATTACAATTTTTTTTTATATTTCAGTAACCTAACAAAAGACCATGTTTCATAACATCACTGATCAAGAAGAAGTCAAAAAACCACAAGCTTTCCAAAAAATGAACTCTTAGGTATCTCCATGTAGCAGAGGCTTCGTTTTCAAGATACGTACTGTTAAGTAGCCTTTACTATTGGCACGCCAGTATCTATCGCCAAAAAGTAGCCGCTGCTCACACGACAACTTGAGGTATCTCGAGCCGTTCTTTCACCAACGTCGTCAGCTAATGATACGGTAGCTTTCAAAACCAAATTTTGGAATAGTTTTGACTTTCTAGTTTTGACACCTCTTTTATGGAAGTAAAAGTTTCAAATCTTTTATTTAACGACTAATGTCATACAATTATTCTTTGAAATCGAGGGAAATAGTGGCAAAATATTTACCGAGCCACGAAGTGGCGAGGTAAATATTCCTAAAGCCACTATTCACCGAGATTGAAAAGAATAATTGTTTTAGTATATACACACGAAGTGATCTCAACAAAATCAGAGAGGAAACCATTAAAAAGTACGATTTGATTGACAGATCAGGTCAGCTAGACACGCGACAGTTTAAAAATAGATCTTTGTAGAATTTTCAAACATGGCAATTCACAAGCTTATCACTTCGCAAACAACAGCGTAATGACTTAAATGGAACCGCTAAAAGTTTGAATTGTTTCCTTACCTGAGAAGAAAAGAAGAGCTTTGTTGTTTTCTGTTGACTCGCCAAGTTTATAGCCGAAAAGGTTTGTTGTGTCGTTCCTCGCATAAAGTGCTGACAAAAATGGCGATTCGGTTCCTCGAGGTAAGACGTCGTCTTCATGTAGCATTCTTTCTCGTGTTTACTTGAATGTAGAATTTCTGCCAACATTTGCTTTCAAATTTGTTTGTCATAAATAAACTTCGTTTTTGGGCCAGATTTTTCATGTTAGGAAACGCTGAGTTCACCAAACGGCCTCTTCTAGGCGAATAAACGGGAGTTGTAAACAATCCATCAACCACAAAACTCAACAACAGTAAATGGGAAAACGCCGTTTTGAATCCTTCGAAGTCTTTTCTTGCCAGAAAAAAAGTCAACCCTAGGATTTTGTCGACTTTTAAAAGATCTTTCTGTAAGAAAATGGGAAAAAAACCGAGCTCACATATTATCCACTCGCTGGGAGGTGAATATTGTTGAATAGTCCGAGATAGCGAACCAATCAGATTGCTTAAATCACCAAGATCACTGAGTGTGTATATACTAAAAAGCTGGAAATTTTTTCCCAACGGCGCTTGCTCGCATTGGTTACTTCGAGGTCACATGACATCTAACAATGAAACTGTTTCCCGCCAAAATCTCTGACCGGGCAACACTGCAAAATCTATGACGACAGAGGGTAACAGTGCACTGTTACCCGCGAATGTTGATCAAAGACCGCCGTTTATACAGCGAGGTTTAATAAATTTCCCGCTTCAAAATTTCCAACTACATATATAAACAAAAAACACAAAAAGACGGGTCCCTCGGGAAACAGTTAGTTTTGTTTCTTACTTCATTTTTTTACATTAATTACATGTAGCTACATGAACAACGCTTCATTCCATGAACAGAATGACTCTGCAAACCCCACCCACACGAATAAGGGCAGGCTGAACTGAACCACATACTTGATTGAATTAAAAAATANAAGTGCTGACAAAAATGGCGATTCGGTTCCTCGAGGTAAGACGTCGTCTTCATGTAGCATTCTTTCTCGTGTTTACTTGAATGTAGAATTTCTGCCAACATTTGCTTTCAAATTTGTTTGTCATAAATAAACTTCGTTTTTGGGCCAGATTTTTCATGTTAGGAAACGCTGAGTTCACCAAACGGCCTCTTCTAGGCGAATAAACGGGAGTTGTAAACAATCCATCAACCACAAAACTCAACAACAGTAAATGGGAAAACGCCGTTTTGAATCCTTCGAAGTCTTTTCTTGCCAGAAAAAAAGTCAACCCTAGGATTTTGTCGACTTTTAAAAGATCTTTCTGTAAGAAAATGGGAAAAAAACCGAGCTCACATATTATCCACTCGCTGGGAGGTGAATATTGTTGAATAGTCCGAGATAGCGAACCAATCAGATTGCTTAAATCACCAAGATCACTGAGTGTGTATATACTAAAAAGCTGGAAATTTTTTCCCAACGGCGCTTGCTCGCATTGGTTACTTCGAGGTCACATGACATCTAACAATGAAACTGTTTCCCGCCAAAATCTCTGACCGGGCAACACTGCAAAATCTATGACGACAGAGGGTAACAGTGCACTGTTACCCGCGAATGTTGATCAAAGACCGCCGTTTATACAGCGAGGTTTAATAAATTTCCCGCTTCAAAATTTCCAACTACATATATAAACAAAAAACACAAAAAGACGGGTCCCTCGGGAAACAGTTAGTTTTGTTTCTTACTTCATTTTTTTACATTAATTACATGTAGCTACATGAACAACGCTTCATTCCATGAACAGAATGACTCTGCAAACCCCACCCACACGAATAAGGGCAGGCTGAACTGAACCACATACTTGATTGAATTAAAAAATACCCTGTTTCTAAGCCTCTCTCCACCCGAAAAGTTACTTTTTGGGCGGAGAGAGGCGACGACCGAAATCCATCGGATCCCAAAAAGAACGCTCTTCTAATGAGTGATGTCATGCCCGCTTGTCTGTGTTCTTGAGATTCTAGCTATTGATTAATTAATATTATTACTGAGGTGTAACGTACTTTGGCAATACTGTCTTTTTAATCTCAGCAATAGCCTGAGAAAACAGCCGACATTTGGCGACGCTACCACTGGTTTCTCCACCAAATGACGACGTCGCCAAATGTCGGCTATTTTTTTTCAGCAACATCTGAAACATGTTTTAAAAATTAAATAATTTCTACTATGATCCTTATATATCAATTGGCTTTAGAAATTTCGTCCCACGAAACCATTGTCCCTCAGCCTTTAAAATGTTTTTTTATTTATTTATCTATATATATATATATTCTAATAATTCAGCAACAGTGACCGCTGTGCGTGGGAGTGGATGATTTTCGCTGTTAAATTTTGAGTCAGAGAAAGCGGAGGAAAACAAACACGTCGTTGTAAGAGTCTAATAGGGCCTTGAGATACAACGAGTGAACTTAACGAGCTCGGTGATCCTTAAAGAACACCTCATTATTACGGACAGGTTACTTTGTCCTTGGGGAAAGAAAGCCCTTACGTTTTCTATAAATTCAACCCGCTTTGCGTAGTTTAGGTAAAGCATGTGTTGTTTGTTTTACTAAAGAACTTGCTTCACTAATGGAAAAGTTGAAATAAAGTTTTTAAGATCATCATCACTCCAAAAGAACAGCAGAGCACACGCCATGCTCCGCCGAATAATCAGTTGCCTTTCATCCTACATACCCGTCATTAAAAAAGCTTATGTACAGCAAAGGTTAATGTCAATGTTCGCAAGATTGACATTAAGCAAATAATTATACACCACAATAAAATTTCGTCTATCATAGCTTTGTTATGTTCACTTTGCCACCCCAATGTGATAAAATTGCTCTTAATCA